AAATTTAATATACAAAGTTGTTTTAATATACATACTTTGAATTTTATTTTTCTTCCGTTTAATTTAAAAACAACATACTGTTCGGGTGAATTGTCTAACCTGAATGAACTGAACTCGTTGCAAACAACGTACTTAGAAGCATTTTTCTTCGATAGATCTTTTATCTAGTTTTATCTGCTGACGTTGCGAGCGCACAGCACCCCGACATTGCGTACTGGACGTAGTTAACCAGTGGTTATGTGGCATTTCGCCTCAAGTGTAAATTTGCGGTTTACCAACAAGCAGACGGGTCGTGGGAATATTTGTTTTGATAACATAACGAGGGTGGAAAGTTATTTAGAAATACATTTTTAATTCCTGAAGTTCTTTACTTATTGAGTAAGTTCTTTACTCAATACTTAAGAAACCGGAATTATCATAGTTTTTTTTTAATAAAAAGAGCTAGCAATGACTTTATATATTTTAAAAAGGATTCAGTAACCGTTTGCTACTCACTTGCTACCCCGATTTATACAATTATACAATATGAATAGCAGTTATTTAAACGAAGCACTTAATTTAGGGAATTCAGCATAATATTATTATTGTCGTTGTATATATTGTAAAAGTATATGAAAATATCTTAGACGTGCCGTTTTCTCAAATGTTCCGATTATAGACACTCGAACGCTTCTTGGAACAATCTGTTCATTAATAAAAGTCACTTTACTCGCAACGTTTTGTTAAGGTCACAAGTAAGTACAAGGTTACAGATCGTTACTGATATTTCTCTTGCTGGGTTTACCTTATTTTGTCTAGTACCTGCACTATGATGTCTTAAGTTGTTACTTAATGGAATCTAAATACATTTTTATTGCAAAACTGGATATCTATCACCACGATTGGACGATATTTAATACATGTTATGTTTTAATATGTAAGAAGCCCACGCTATTCTCGATTATGAACTAAACACGCCAATAAACAAAAAGTGACACAAACTATATTTCCGTCTATTTCACATGCGTTCCAAAATTAGTATGATTGCGCGTAAAAATTGCTCTGTCACTGGCCATCTAAAAATATTGTACTTGGCAAAGAGACGGCGTTAACTCTTTGAACTATGGCCAAGGTGTTTTTATTATAGGCATACTACTATCATAGACTTGCACGTTTGTCTTGTTTGGCAGGCGCTTAAGACGTTCACTTGGGCATTAATCATGGTACATACCATGTACTTTTGCACTACAAATCGTGAGAGAACTCGTGATTTGTAAATTCACTAATACGTATTTTGCCGTGAAAACTAAAATCGTAATCAGTGTTATTTACGTACTGGGAAGGTGACAACCGTAGGTACGTTTTGCATCTTGTTAAAATAATAGTAATCAGTCCGTTTATATTGCGAGTTCCATATGTAACAAAATTACTATAAACTATTGAACTAACCCAGGCAGTTATGATTCAGAGAACGATTGCGCCTATCGTATACAAAGCACATCTAACAATCCTATTATTGTAACACGTGGACGAACCGCGCTGTCGGAACTATACCCAGAGTACGTGTAATACTTGAATGGTTTGTTTTATTCCGCAACTTTTTGATTGATGATATAAACCATTATTGAATAAATTACTACACATTCGAAACTGAGATCATGAACTGAAACTCTAAAATAGATATTTCTTTTGTAGATACTCTTCTTCCAAATGAACTTTGAACTCGTACAGTCATTGTATGTATGTATATAAATGATCGCTGCTGGAAATACATCGATGAGAACGGAACACGTGTTCTATTCAGACATTATTTCAGACTGGTAAATTACTTATCTGCTATTACGAGTGTGGAATCACGTGGTTTATCGATGCTAATATATAGGCCAGGTTTGAAAACTATCGATACTTTGACAACCGTTAGTTCACCTTAAAAATAGTTACGATGTCGATCTATTGAGTGATAGTGTCGATATAACTGTATTAGATAGAGTATCGACATTATTACTACTTTTCAAGGCAAAATAATATCCACAAGACTATCGATAGTTTCGGTGTTGGTTTACAACACTAACCGTGACAGTTAAGGTACTTTTAGGTAGTATAACAGACATATGACGCAAGTATCTCAGTTGCGGTCGAAATAGTTTCCTAATTTCAAACCGCATTGATGTTTTGTGACCGCAGATTTCAAAACTCACACATATGCTCTTAATAAAGCATATGTGCCAGCTACAAGTGAGTGGAAGAAATTTGTAAAGAATGCTGAAATTATTTGAGCTGAATGGGAAGATAAATAATAGATATGGTGAAAAATGTGGTCTTCAAAGATAAATTCTTTGAAGACCACATTTTGCACGTCGTCTTACGGCAGCAAAAAGTCTTACTTTATAAATTATTTTGCTAGCTTTTGAGTACTGTTTTTTTTAAGATAAATGGGTTCAATCTGCTAATACAAATTTATAGTGCAAGTTTTGGAAAATAGTATGTATAATGGAGGGACATAAATCAAATTGCCATCCAATTGCCAAAATAATAAGTTATAATTATTTATACAAAGATAGAACACTCGGAAAAAATTCTTTCGATCCGGCCGGATTCGAACCGACGTCTTCTAGCTTACCGTGCCAGACGCTATACCAACTAAGAATCTGGCACGGTAAGCTAGAAGATATCGGTTCGAATTCGGCCGGATCGAAGGAATTTTTTCTGAGTGTTCGATCTTTGTATTAATAATTATAACAAACTAGTGGAGTAATTTCAGAAAAAAAAAATTGAATGTCAATTCAATAAAAATTTAAAAATAATAAGTGTAAAATTGTCCGGGACGATATAATGAGTGCGTGTGTTCCATAGCCTATATTAAATTATAAGAACTACGACGTCAGTAAAATTATAGGATCTTCCAAGTGGGGACGGATATAATTTACATTCAAAAGTGATTGCATATTTTATTGTCATTTTTAACCTTTAGTAAACATCAAAGCTAAGCGATTGCATGTACCTAAACTAATTAGGAATCGCCACGTGTTCCAGCTCACCCAGCCGCCGCTGCCGCCGGCGGAGAGGCGTCACTCGACCTCTGCGAAGGCCGTGCCCGCTTTTATTGATTTTTTACGCGCGCTGTCCACTCCGTACACCTCCCGACACGCCCGCCCGGGTGACACTCTAGCCTTATAATTGACTGTAGTTTTGCCAATTGTTACTTTTACTACATTGGACATATCACAATTTTCTTTACTACACACGACCAGTAATAAACTGGAAGAAGAGCGAAACATAGACGTAGTAGCGTCATAGAATTAGTCGTAAAATTCGATTATGTATTGACGATATTTCATGCGGGGCGCTACTTGCTATGCAGCAATCTCTTGCAAACATCCTCTGAATACTAAGTGCCGTGTATGTTTGAAGTCAATCCCAAAGCACGGTGGTGACTAATGATTTTATAAACTTTACTAATGTCGTCGTATGTTAAAATTTTACTGATGTCACATTAGGACAAAGAGAACGTTACTTCCAGTAACTTTTAAAATTATAACATACCTTAATTTTAACATAATATTATGCAATTTACTCACGTGATATTTTATTCACGCTACACAAAGCCAATAATATTGTCGTATGCACTTTCTTGAATATCATAACTTTTAAAGACTTAGTGCTGAAATTTACTGACGACGAAGTTTTAGAACAAGAAACTAATCTAATATTTCAAATTCATACGTACTTGTGATAGTAGCAATTAAACTAAACACCAAACTTTCATATTAGTAGTGAACTATGCTTAAAGTTTCTAACAAATTGAACAGGTGCATATAATTACTTGTTCGACTAGAGTATTAGTGGGTCTCATATATTTTGATATTACGATAGAACTAGTTTCCTTCTTACTAAACTTTCATTCTTGAGAACGTGTGAAACTTAAGACATTTATTTCTAGGTCTCACTAATCATAAGGTCGGTTAAAGTGTTTCATTAACCTTTTTCTCTTACATTTTATACAAAGTGGAAGAATGCATTTTTATCTTTCGAAATGACATAGTGCTTTTATTTTTGATAACTAACCAGATTAAAAGTCTTACTGATTAAGATTATAAAATTAAAAATTATTTAGTAGAAGTAGAGCTCCTTATGATAGAATTTCTCCAGGGAAGTACTGCCTTAAACTATTTCTCACGCCAAGCAGTAATGTGAGTAGGCAAATGGGACACGCGCGCAGTGCCCCTCAGATGTTTGCGTTTTAAAGCTCTGAGCCTGCAACTGTTACAACAGGCGTGTCGCTTACCACCAGGCCCACGACTTGTAGTCCCGTCACATGGTATCATAAAAAAAAAAACCAAAAAGGTTCATACGTACATAACATCACGTTATTTGAATAAAGAAGCAGGTTTTCTTAGAATTTTGTGTAGGTACCTAGGTTGAAAGCTATCAGTATCAATTTATGTACGCTGCTCGAGTAGTCCTTCCTAATTAATTTGTTTAGGCACCCACTAACTTTGTTTTAGATAAACTTTAGTAAGTCTACTTCTTGTTAATTAGATTATATCCTTTATTGAAAGTTCCAACAAAGATGTAGTATGCGAAAGCTCCATATATATCAGAGTGAATATGTACAGCTTATATATACAGCGGTTATATGTTTAGAGAATAGTTTCGTTGACTAAACGGAAGAGTAAGGAATGAGTGGTACATGACATGACCTCTCGAATCGTATTGCCAACCCATATTCCACGTTACACGTGTTACGTTAAATTATTCTTCAACAGTTCGTTGACTGAGCAAGCTTATAGACGCGTTTCCTCGAAAACATCCTCCCTGAGCCTTTTGATGGAATTATTTGCGGCACGTCAATAATTTACTGCTCTTGTTTGTTTCAGGTTGAGACGAAACTCGGACTATACAGTAAGTTCCGTTTTATATCTTCCTAGAAACGGCTAAATCTAGACGCGATTGGTAAACTTCGGCCTCCACTAAGTAATAAACTTTATATAGTATGCACCCTACTCTACAAACTGAGATAGAGCAGTTGAGACCACTGAACAGTTTCCAAATGGGTTTACACAAAGTGATCGTATATACATACGGAGCCAGATTGTATTTCGTGGATGTAAAATTTGCTTATCAAGTCAATTTACTTTGCATACGTTTTCTTTTACCGTGACAATTGTTTCATTTAATTTTACGACTTTTTATAAATACGGTATCGTAAGACTGTAGATAAAGAAAGCTTTTCATTTACTTAGTTTCTTAAAACAACTAAAACTACGCGTCAATAGTGCCAATTAATGTGTCTGTGGATGACGCGTTAAATGCACGTTCGGGTCACGCATGGCAGCCCGCTAACTAGATTAGCTCTAGCGTTGTTACCAACTCGATGCTTTGCATCATACTCCTCGTTATACTTGCTAATGCCACGGAACCAAATTCATGAATGCCAAATATGCGGCCTTAATTAGCAGTTATTTGCTGAAAATGCCTTTCGTATAATAGCGGAAGTTAGGTTCACTTTTTACTTATAAACGGTGATGTTCTTACATTCTGTTCAACATCCTGAGCGTTTTGTGCAAAGAATTCAACGCACGCCTCGTCATAACACGTGAATGGTTTACGTCGCCTCATCGTCATTTACCGTGCGACGCTTTCACGCCGGCCAGAAGCGCGATCCGTCTTTGTTCGGGTGAGTTATACGCAGGCCAACCGTCCGCTAAATGAACGCTAACCGCGCTACAAATCATCAGTCGCTAACTCACTTCGCAAGATCTTCCCCCACATGGCCCTCTCCCCCCGGTGGCGTCTTCCCGCTAATTCCCACCTCGAAACGATACATTCACCATGCTTTCGTGAGCGAACTTAACACGAACGCCGCAGTGACGTAAACACCACAATCGCGTGCGCCCGCCCTGTTGAAATTACACTCGGCTCGAGCGGCACATACGATCATTAAACGTATATCTGTTAATAATAATTGCGATTGTCTGGTTGTACGTGCGCAGCGAGTTATGGCGCAGTTGCTGGGTGCCTCGCCTCCCCCACCGCTACCGCCGGACCCCGCTGATCTGCGGCGACTGGCGCATCTTGAGATGAAATGGCATTCAGTTTCGTTTTGTGACGACTGAATGGGCGCCAGCCGCATCATGTGAATAGCACAGATATGCGATGTCACCGTAGATTTTTTCCACTCAGATATCTGACTCACTGAATTCGAATACGGCTGTGCTGTGGTTACCATCTAAAGTATTTCAGTTTAAAAGCTAAAGTATTTTGACTTCTGAAACAGTAACAAGAAATATATCATAGTGATACATACAATGTAACAAGACAATATAACTAACATCTTTATACCGTTACTTTGTTTTTGAAAGATATTTCTTTCAAAAACAAAGTAAAGTAAGTCTTTACTTACACTTTGCCGTGACCTTTATTTGCACCGTAAAAGAACTCGCAAAGGCGATAAAAACGACTCGGTTTCACAAAGTAACTCATAGTAGAATGTGCGATCAAATTCAAATGATATTTTACAGGCAATAGTCTGGTGTATTCGTGCGCAACTGTACCACACTATTACAGCAGTCTTACTCAGCTATTGGAAGAAACATCACGTATATCCGTACATGTAGCAGTTTTTACGTTAGCTTGCACATTTTTACGATCACGGCCGCCGGCGGAATGGCGGCAATTTAACACAGGCTGGTCGGGCTCTCATGACTGGTCCCTACGTGATCTCCGGCGACGCCAGTCGACTTAGTAATAACTCAGAGCGGTTCATACGTCGGTATCCGGATATGTTTTTATAAGTATACCTTTAAAAATGCTGTGGACAGATCAACCATATGAAAATGATTAACTAAATCAATCTAAAATGTATATGATATGTAGATAGTTATAAATGATTTTTTATTTTTGTCTACTTTTCATTTGCGCAAGGGAAAAGTGACTTGTTCGTAAGTTTCATTTTCGTTTGTCCCCTTTTATTAATTCCTTCAACGTTTCCTACATCTATCTCAACTCAGCATTATTTACGAAGTCCCGCAAAGGATCTTTCCGGCACTAATTAAATGGGACCCTCCTTCGCAAGTCGGCATTGGTATGCGGCGCGATAACGCTGTGCAAGCTACGGAATCTGATAGAGATACCCATACGTCTTTTTATGGATCGTATTTTATCCGATGCCTATAAGCACTGAATACCATTATTTTATAAGACACCGCATTTTTGTTATTAATCAGTCCAAAATCTTTTGAGAACTTTTTTGGCCTATGTTGTGTCTTTTTCATGACCAGTAATTCAGATTAAATGAAATCAACAGCCTAACATCGTCGTCCAAAAATTTTCATTCTTTTCCCCTCCCACTATGAATGAATTTGATTGGAATTTCATCCTACATCAGTCGGTCAACGGCACACAATCTGAAGGTATCCTTTAGCCCCTCGTGTTCTGTATATTATAATGTTTATGTATGTGTGTTAAAGCCAACAAAGGGTGGGACAGTCTCGCCCTCACGCCTCGATTCACGCGGTGTTGTGTTACCCTGAGGGCTTTTGTACACCCGACCACGCGTTCTATAAATGTGTCTCCACAATTCACAATCCATTCTAGGTTTAACGGTGCTATGGAGGAAAAGTGGAGAATTCAAAGGGACAAATAACCTGTGGACATTGCAGAATAGTTTGGTATTAACGATATACAATGACATCTTTCTGATTATTTACCGTTACTTAATTCATTGAAGTTTTGAGAAAGTTCTTGCATATTAGTTCCTGTTTCAAAGTAACTTAAATAGCGGTTTCTCGGGGACTTGCTCAAGATTATGGCTTAGGGAAACATCAACAACTTTTCCACGCACGAATAAATCCGATGGCGCAAACAGGAAAACGTCAAGGCTTCCTCCTTCACTTGTATCTCTTCAAAAAACTCGTACTTTACCGAGATTTAAGGTTATGTCGTGAATATTGAAATAAATTGGCCGTCGAAATACACGAACCGCGCATGTTTGAGGGGCTGTAGAGTGGAATGGTGTGTCGCGATTCCCGGAATGTTTTCCTCGAGGTCGATTTTTCGAGAATCCTTGTTTTTCGTCCTTGTTTCCTTTGTGCTTTTATGTCATAATAAGAAAGATGGTATGGTTCGGGTAAGCGTTGTGGGTTTTATTCGAGTGGAGTGTTTTTGAAGAAAATTCTCACCACGGAATAACGAAGTGTTGGAATTATGTTGCTTTGCAATTCATAGACCCTGTCAGAGTGAATGTTTACAATAGACTTAGAAAAATTAAGTAAAAATGACAATAAGAATGACAATCTTCAACCCTAACAGTAAAACACTAATCTGTCGTAAGTGTCTACAATAGTCAAACTCTGTTTAAAACCCTAAAACCAACAAATAAAATAGCAAACGTCTACAAACGTCAGCTTTCCACGTAAAAAAAACTTGTAGTGAACGGTTGGGTTATTATGTTGAAATAGTAGCTAATGCGTTAACTAACTTTAACTATTATTGGTACCACAGTTCATTGCGCTTTTGAGACTATGGATATAAAGTTTTCTATCGTTTAAACGGCGCTCATACGACTAACGACGTTTTAATTAAGTATGAGACTACATGTTGAATCTTGCATTGCCAGTAATCGCTCTCTTAGATAACTATCATTTATGCCATATTGGTAGTTTAACCTGCACGATGTCGAAATTCCGTCTGCAGACATTGTCAACTTACCTCGTTCAAATTGCATTACCGGCAAACTACTGGTTAGACCGCCATTTGCATAAATCACACGCGGCGACAAAACTACTCCTACAGTTTTTAATTGATTCCCTTTATTACAAGCGCTCGCTGCAACTTCACGCCGTTTGGCTTTACTTTTAAAGTTTTATGACCAGTTATTTTTGTTTGATCTAGATCTATTTCACTCTATTGAACTTGTACTAATAATTAATTTATCTATGTCATTAGACAAAAGTAAAAATAATAATAACAATGTACAAACAACACATAACAAACCTGGGTTCCAAGTCTGCTAATTTTATATCATCTCAGTTGTGTGTCGATAGCGTCAGGGGCAGGATTTGTATTTTGCTCCTCGATGGCATGTCGATGGCGTAGTCTACAAATGATTTGACATGAAGAAAATAGATTTAATTTGAAGACTGAATTGGTGTTTAAACGATATAAAAATTAAGATAAGCATATTTCCATGGAACTTTTAGTAAAGCGACATCGATCGTTCGTGTTTGAAATAATGAATGAATACAATAATTGCCATTTCAGTGATACTATTGAGATTCAACTGCTATTGCAACAGGATTTAGCAGAATAACAAATATAGTCATAATGATAACCAGTGATTTAAAAAAAAATTAGCAGAATTGGGGGCCTTTATTACCCGGGGGAATCTGCTTACAGATACCCCGGCCATGCACGGGCAGACCCCTCCTCTCCGCTGTAGGTGGAGGTATCGGTACGCTATATAATCTAGCTCAAACTAGGGAATTCCCAGAACTATGAACACCAGAGCTACGGAATTGACTCCGGGGATAAATCGCGCAATGTTACGCTTAATGTAGAAATGTAAACCTATAGATATAATTATTGCTGTCTCCGTGGCCGAACGGTTACCATATTGGACTGCCACGCAGAGGGGGTTCGATTCCCGGGTAGGTAGAAATATTTATATAGATGTACTATTTCTCTCGTGAGCTTGGGTGTAATTTGTGGTTGACTATGTGTGTTCCCATGGAATCCGCGAGACAGGGTTTCCCTATTGCGGGGCTATGAGTTTGTGCTTTATTATTATTATTGCCAAAGTGTTCAAATTATAATATAAATTACTAATTCAGTTGGCAAGAGGAAGGACGTGGTCGCTGTGCATTTATAAGTGCGTGTAGGAGCCAAGACGGCGGCTCAAACGC